AGTCATGTCTTTTTCTGCCGACTGCTTCACTATGCAAGTATAGACACAAAAACAGGCCTTTAACTAGCAGCATGCCCCAGCCAGCCTAATCACCCCCATTTTTGGTCTAAACTAGCAACGGATTGTGCTCTTGTATTCTAGTTTGCAAGCACACATACTTACTCCATGTATATATGTCATTTCTCCATAGAGATTGCCTAACATTTAGGAAAGATGTACAAATCAGCCCTGAGTAGAGACCCTGGTAAGAAAATTCTTTCCCTGCAGTTGAAGGAACACTTGCCAAGTTCAAACAGCAGGGCACAAGCAGTTGGAAAATTGTACTAATTAGTTCAAGTCCTTAAAGTATGTTTTGAATGCCACATGAACAGATTAAAGAAAAATCCGCTGCTTCCTTCAAGTTATATAGAGGAAAACGTTTGTGCACAGCTGAGCTATACAATGAATCATTTCAAATGAAATTAGCAAGGCAACTAGCAATCTCAAAATTGACAGTTGCACTAGCATCACAAAGTGACAGGCCATCAGTCTTAAGCCACTGATGTCACAGAGTCCTGCAGCTGGAAATACCAGAAAAGAGCTAAGTTAAATCTTTGCATCTTGGTATGTGCCGATTTCAGTCCACACATTTCTGGGTGGAGCAGAGGCTACCACTGCTGCAGGAATTGGTTTGATTGGGAGGAACAAGCTACAGGGATCAACAAACATAACAGACAGACAAATAACAGGTTGAAACCAAAGAGCCCCACAGACACCCGCCCCCACAAACAGGCCGAGTGTGGTAGATATGGAAGGGCCAAAATTCTTATCTTCATTTTATGCCTGCAAACGTTGAAGTGTGCTTCCTGATATGGATAATGGCATTGCAACCATCTTCATGGTCTTTGTTCTTCCTCCTCATTTATGCATGCTGCCATCCATCCCTTTTGTGGGAAATCACCCATGCAATTTTGTCAACAACATCCTCATGCCATGTTCAGTTTAGCATCCTGGATGCCATGGTAAAGACATGGACGACAAATGGTGTCAAGTAGCAGCCAACAGGAAGGGTGTAATACAGCAATGAAACATGTTTTTCAGCAAGAGATCCCTCACCCCAGCAATTTATTTACAACTGTCAAGCTTGTTTATTTTGAACCGAAGTGCAAATTGGAACTTTATTGGGAGAGTATAAGGAGTGGGAACATAGTTCAGTACCAGAGAAAATGCTTTGCCTACAAAAGATACCAGAGTTTTCCCCTTAACATCTCCAGTTTAAAAACAAAAGATAATGTAGGAGGTGGTATAGATGACAACTTAATGCCTACCAGATATTGTGGACTTCAAATTCCCTTGAGTCCCAGTTAGCATGACCAAAGGTCAGGAGTTCTGGAAGCTGTAGTTCGACCCATCTGGAGAATCCTTTGGATGCCTACCTCTGGAGTACCAAATGGTAAGCTAAACAGACAAGTAGTCCAACATGGTAGGTGGCAGCTTCCTGTGTTCCCAAAGGCATGACAAATACAAGCAAGCGAGAATGCAGAACTTGCCCTGGGAAACAGATTCTAAACAACTGAATATAAGGTTCTTAGTTATTGGTATCACTGCCTTGATTGCTATAATTATGGTCACAAACCAATGGCATTTTAATTACATTACAGGCATGCTTTAAAAATGGCTTCACATAATGGGAGACCTGGTTAATATCCTCTTATGGTCAGGCCTTAACCATCTTTTGATTTACACTGCTTGCTACCTGTATTTAGATATGCCTTCATACAATCAAAAGCTCAGATATACATTGAGTAGATTTGTTCTTCAAACCTCTAATTCACTGTTAAAGGTCTCATTACCAAGAGTTTTCTTTCCAGTGACTATACTGCTCTTTGCTTGTTCACAACAGAGCAGACACTTCAGCATTGTGTAGGCAAAGAAATGTTGAGCAGGCTAATGGTGTTCCTAGTTTGCATAATCCAACAGTCATTAATCATGAGGACATGCCCAGCACAAAAAATATTAGTTAATGACTGCCTCTGCAGAAGATTTCAGGTACCTCTGCTTCAATATTCTTAGGATTACCACCCAGTATTTCAAAATTAGATCACCTACACCTCTCCCAAACCAAATATAGCTCCAGTGTATGCTGCAGGACAGCACAACCAGATGTTGCTGATTTATGAAGCCCCAACTAGAACCTTATCACAGATCTGTAGTGCAATATAGGCTAAAATCCTGAATGAAAATTTAGGATTTCCATTAGAATTTCCTTTTCATCTGCCAGGCTTCTGTGCTATTTCATTTTAATTCCCCCAAGGTGAAAGGTCAGTCATGGAATGATGACAAAAAGTCAGAATACTTGATATGAAGCTAATCAGCCTGAGAGAGGAGACTGGTACGAAGCTTGGTTTGTTAAGGATAATGCTCAAAAGCAATCAGATGAATAGTCATGGCCACTTGGCTTGGAGACAATGGCTATATCCTTTTTTGGAGCCCTACTGAGCTCATGCACTTGGAAGCCAGAAGCACTGAAGAAACAGGTAAAATATGGAGGAAGCTCCCAGTGAGACAAACTGAACACATCTTAAGTAGAGAGCTAATGTATAAAAAGAGCTAACCGCGTAGCACACAGATTAGCCATTGAAACTGATCTTCTCACCACCTAGGTAAAAGTCTGAATCCAGGCAGCTGTTCCCTGGATGAACTTACACACATGCCACTCCCATTCTAATAAGGGGAGAGACTATGTGGTGTAGAAAGTAGATGCAGTATACTGGTTAGAGCATGAGACCGAAACTCAGGAGATCTGGGTTTTATTCCCCACTTGGCCATGAAGCTCACTGAGTGACTTTGGGCCAGTCACTCCTCTTGGTTTAACCTACCTCACAGGGTTATTATGAAGATAAAATGAAGAATTATGTTGCTGCCATGGGTTCCTTGCAGGAAAAAGGTGGAATGTAAAATAAAGGCATAACACTGTCCTACTTTACAAGATCAAAGTAAGGATGATATAAATGCATCTGAATTGTTCTGGGCACAAAGAGAAAAACCCACTAAGCATTGTAATAAAAGCTAGATTTCATACATTAATTCAAAATAATCAGTCTCGTATTCATTGGCCTTTGTAAAATGAAGAAATCGTCTTTGGTTTCAACTCATCCCAATACACAAATTGTCAAAAGTTTGTGTCAAAAGTATTAACAAAAGTATTATGTGATCATATATGCCCCAAGCATTTATTTGGGGACTTTTGTTCAATTTCTAATTATTTTAGTAGCGCAGCTAGATAATTGCAGATCCTGGCTTCAATGAGGTTCTGCAGGTCCTTTCTAGATGGTCATGTGAATGAAGTGTGCAACAAACATTTATCTTCCCTTCCAACACTGCCATTCCATGCTTTGCAACATTCCTAACATGTTAGAACAGCAATACAACTGTTTGCCAATCTTGCTTATAAATACTGGAAGGATGTGTAATTTTGTGGTTTAAGCTCACTTAAACATAGCATTGTCATGATTAAAGCTGAGCGTCTTTCTGCTGCCATCACCTGCTGCTCTTTGCATGGTCATTGTGGGGGCCTGAGGCTGAAGGGGCCTAGACTTGAGCCCTAAGGACCAATCCTAACAACTCTACTGCTTCATGTAACTTAAATATTCAAATTCACATGGCTAGTTCACATACCTTTTATCTTGTATTCCAAGTTCACTGGACAGATATTCTTTTAACATTCTTTCTTAAAACTATAATGAATCCAGTACAGGTAAAATGTGCATTGGAGTCATTCACCAATTAAAGAAAAACTAATAATCAACATGAAAACTTGCAGCTTGAGGTGCAATCGTTTCCATACTGAGCCAGAAAAAAATCCCTATAGCTTCCAGCCTACCCAGCCATACATGCATTCATATGCAGGGCTGCCTGAGGAATCCTGGGATATGTAAGGCTTTTTCTATCTAAACACACACAGCATTGCATCCTTACATTATTATGCAGGCAGTCGTCCAGAATTTATTTACACATGGCAGCTGATATGTAAAAGCTTCCAGGGTTTCACTTTTAAGTAATTAAAAATGGGAGGAATGTAATCCTTCCATTCTTCAGGGGTGGCCTGGGTTCCCACTCCATAAAAGGCTGAGAGTGCTGTTGCATTCAAACTGTGCTGCTATTGAAAGGCAACTTACTGGTTCTTATTGACATTAAACAGCATGTTGATAGACAACCCCTCTCCCCAACTTGTGTTGCTGATCCAAAGGGCACAGCTGTTAGTTCAGAACCATGCACACATGAGCAAGAAAACTTCATCTTGCCTGATCCTCTGTAAAGGGATTGGAATTTTAAAAAAATAAGTTCCATTATTATACCCCTGAAACTTTTATTGCTTATATAATGAGCACTTGTTGAGATAAATTCCAGGCGCCAAGTTTCAAGCTGCTAGCTCAAGAGGTCTACCATTGTGCCAAAATCTCAAACAGATCCAATAACAACTGCCACAGGTATTTTCACATGTGCTGTATGGTCGTGTGAGTCCTTTCATACCCGTCCAATGCTAGTGAACTAATGGCACTCTATTCAGGCTTGTCGAGGCGACGTGCCTTTCATTTATACTGGGTTCGATCTTGAAGTCAGGCCAACGGTTAACCAACAGCGGGAAGGGAGAAGGAAAAGCATTTCATTCTCTAGTAAAGTGATCTCTGGAGCTCACCCCCCATCACGTACGACAAATCGCCTGCTGGGATAACAGTGACACTAACACAGATCCATCACCATGCCGTCGTAATCGCACGAAGTAGTTAAGGAGCGACAGAAAAGTATTTGAAAGCTTCCTAGCTGAGCACGGCTGTGGGAACGCGCTCAGACAACGTTATTCCAGAATGAGGACGCGAAATTCAGATCTTAGTCTACATGCAAAGTTAGATAAATTAGTCTATCGCGCATGCAGTGCACCCCACTAGAGCACACAAGTCACCAAACACCGTCAGGCGTGGATGGGTCAGGACTGTACACAACGCTCTACTCGCACTCACCTCCCTGGCCGACTGGATCTGCTTACGCACCATCTCCTTACACGGATAGATGATCTCGCCAAAGCTGGGCTGGAAGTAAGTCTCCACCCGGGTGAGCCCCCGGAAAGAGCCGCTGACGAAGGCTGGCCAGCCCAGCTCCAGCACTGGTGGCTCCACATCGGACTGCTCCGGGAAGTAAGTGAGCGACGAGCAATCCATAGACGTGTTCAGCGCCTGATCCGCAGCGACGGCGCTGTCGTCCGGCCCGGGCGGCGGCACGGCAGCGCGCAGTACAGTGCGGATCTCGGGCTCGGAGAGGAAGGAGCGCATCTTCTCCCGGCGCAAGAAAGCGTGGAAAGCCGGCCGGCCTGCGGCCACGAGCTCTTCCAGCGCCAGGCGCTGCGCCTCGCTGTAGCCCACGGGTAGGCTAGGAGGACTCCACCCGCGGAAGCCCCTAAAGGGCGCATCGTCCAAACACTGGGACTGATTTGCCATGGGCCTATCCTCGCCCGCCTATAATCACTCTCCCTGGAGAGTAACAAAGCACGAACGCGTAGGAGTGCCCTTTTTATACCGAGTTTGAACGTAAACGCTTGACCGCGTCTCTGCTATAGGTTGCGAGGGCTCTTCCCTCCGACCGCCTTTTAGGGGTGGAAAGAACTCGCTGGTTGGCTGCGTCTGGAGTTGCTTTTCCAATCAAGTGAGGAAGAGGGCAGGATCGCGGCAAATTTTAAAGGAGAAATGTCTGCCTTCTGCACGCTCCTCGCTCTCATCCTAGCTAGGAGCCCTGGGCGCGGTAGGAATGAGGCTTTCTGCTCATGAAACCTCTCCTGCGTTGCGATCAGGTAGTAAGGAGGCAAGATGCAGCGTCAGTTATATCCTACTGGAAATGGCAGTCTTCCTACCGAACACCTTGCTGCCGCCTCCCTTTCCTCTGTCTCTGCAAAGCTAAATACTGGAGCAGAGCCGCGTCGGTCTCCCAGTTAGCGGTGCAGCTAAGTAATTTCAAAGCCGGATCTTGGAGCTTTTAAAAAGGGTTTTATTAAAATAACGTACCACTCACTATTATACTATAACTTATACTATAACGCAAGTCCCTGACGAGTCCTGCTTTCCTACTGGAAGCAGTCCTTTTTCTAGCTTGTGCGGAGTTTTTACCTGCACTCTACTTGGTATTAGTTCAACTGAAGTACGGAAGGCTTATTTCTTGGTGAATTAGCACAGGATCCTTCCTTCCTTTTTCAGGATGGAGATGTGTGTGTAGGAGTTTTAATTTGGAGTTTTTAATTTGCTTTTCTTCTCTTGGCATGTAAGAATGTTAGATTTCAACCCCACGCATACGCAGTGTCCTATCTAGTCTAGGCACTTATTTTGGATTTGATTGGTGAGATCATTCTCCTCAGCTGAAAGCATACTGCATGCAAATATATATTTTTGGGATGGGGCATCAGTGTGTTGCTGCTGATATGGTGCAGTTACCAATCTTCTGATTAGGACAGTCTGTTCTTCAAGTCTCAGGTTTTTATCTGAAATGCATCAGTGAACCTAATAAAGGCAGGCATTCTAGAGAAGAAACTGAGAAATAAAATTAACTTGAATTGCTCATCACGTGTCAAGGTGTTTTGGGCAAGCAGGTTAGTTTTGGTTCTTTATATGTCCCAAGCAGACAATGTAGAGGTAGTTTTGTGTTAGTAGTATCTAATAAAACGCCTGCTTGGCTTCTACTGCTGTCCATGGTAGTTAAAGAGAACTGTGTGGGGAGATACTAACCCCATTCAATCCACAACAGGGAGAGGCACCATTCTTCCTATGAAGGCCTCTTAACCCATAAAAAAGGGAGAGGGCTACAGCCAGTAGTGAGCAGCATCAAAAGTGGGCCAAGCTAGCAGCACTGCATAACCTTCCCATTGCACCGCCCATGCCATCTCTAGCTCTCTCATGCACACAGTAGGAGAGGAAGCAGTTCCCAGAAGGGCAAGGCAAGAATACAAGACAGTCCCCAGCAAGCAAGGTGATGCTGCAAGTTCCATGAAGTTAGGCCAAGACCTGCAGACTTCTCATCCTGGATATAAAAGGCCAAGATATCATTTTCCAGCTTATGCAACATGATTCAGTAGCATCATTAACCATTTCAGGCCCTTCCAAGACCTCTGCATGCCAAATATACAGTTTGACCTGCATAAACTTACTCCCAACTCACCTCTTCTTTAGCTACCACTCAGTTTTAATTGCTGCTAAGTGAAAAAGGCCTTTCACCTGCAGCTTTCTGGAAGCAAAGAATGTCCCCTTTCATAGGCCACAACTGAATTGCCTAATTGTCCCTGGGCACACACCAGCCTTGTGAGGTAGAATTTTGTGTCACACCCACACCAACATTAACCATTCTCTAGCACCACCATGTTAATGCTACTAAATTTCAGCACATCATGGAATCCGAACCGGCATTATTTGCTTACAGAGGACATGTCTTTTCACAGCTTCTTTTAGCTCTTCTGAAAAACTTGTAGCATAGGCAAATAATTAAGCTGATCATATGACTCAGCAGAATGCTGGAGTTTACTGCAAACTTCTGATTTTGAGTCTTTTTTTTAATCAAAGGATTCAGATGAGCAATAAAGACAAGCATTTGCGTTAAAACACTATTGTCCTTCTATCACTTATACTGGATATGAAATCTAAAATCCATTTTAGCAATTTCTTAAGAAAATGATGCATCTGTCTATATGTCAGTAGTATGTTTACTGTCCTGTAGGGAAGCAGATGAAGTTTTGCAAGACAAAACAAAGATGGATATAAAGGAAAATACAATCACTATCCAATTTTTCTATTGAGTTCCAAGAGGCACAATCATAGCTGCAGGGCAGTTTGGAGGAAGCATGCAATAAAACGCTGCCCACAGATGTATGAGCTGGCTACTCATAGGCTGAGTATCTCATGAAATGCATGCCTAGTATTTTGCCATTCATAGATACTAAAGAAAGAGAGCTGTGGTTTGGAAAGGATTTTCTCCTAGGTTTCTGTCAGATAGGATGCCATTAAGGGGGGAAAACATACTTTTGAGTGATGGGAGGAGATTTCTTTCATTTCTCTATAATGGAGTCAATAATTTAAGGTACAGACAGGGTTTCTTATAGGGACAGAGTTGAGGCTTTGCCTTTTTCATAGCCAGGAAGACAGCATACTTTAACTAGGAGAAGATCCAGAACTCTGGGTCCGCCATAATTTCTGAAGTTCTGTTAGCTTATGTCTAGGGGTGTGTGTGTGTGTGTGTGTGTGTTCCCTCAAATAGGAATGCATGAAGGAGAAAAGCTAGTGACTAAAGGACAATTTCTTTGGTTGTTGTAGCTCATAGTTTTTCAGCTGCCCTGTTTCAAAAAGGGAATTCAGAACTGAATTGTCCATCATCTGCCACAAGGAACAAATAGGCGAAGAACCATTCTATCCTCCCCCATTATCATCTTCTATTTCTTCCTGTAATTTTAAATAATAATGATAGTGATACAGCCCTTAAGATCAATGTGATGGACTCTAAATGCACTGTCATTAAATAGGAGTGACACCAATTTAGATGGTAACATTTCCATGACTTGCTTCACAAAAAGCCGTTACATTGGGCAGATGTCTAAGCAGGGAATGTGCAACTGAGTCAGTAAATTATATGCAAAGTATTCATGCCAGTGCATTGCCATCAGGTATTGGGGAGCACTGATGTACATGCAGCAGGAAAATGGTTCAAGAAATGAAGACAGAGGTGCGCAAGCATGGAACTTGAGTGATATGGTTACTTCCAAATTTGAGTGATATGGTACACCAAATTTCAGTGATATGGTACACCAAATTTACCACACTGAAAGAAGTGAATAACAGCAGAGGCACAAGGCCTTCCTGTTGCCCCCCGCCCCCGCCCCCACCCCCCAGGACAGGAGAGGAAAGAATGCAAGCCAGTCCCTACAATGACTTTCTGGGCCTCTTCTTTACATTTACATTAATATCCAATCCTTCCGTGGCATTTAATACAGATTCACATAAGATTCTGTGTGATCTACTGTCCAGGTATTGACCATACCCAGAACATCCTTCAATACCAGAAGCTGTTCATATACAAGCCCATAAAAACTTTCCTGAGACCATGGCTCCTTCTTCTTTCTTCTATTACTATTAATAAATAAGCATGAAGACTCAGCAGCCAATTGCTATCTTAATAAAAGAAATTTAATAGTTTAAATTAAAAATTGTTCTGTTAACCAAAGACAGAAACTAATACTGTCACACATATTCTTTTGCCATCAGACTCTCAGTCAGTTTGAGATTGTATTGTTTCAACAGTTTAAAAAGCCACCATCTTTTCATACATATATCAATATTCCATAAAAATATCAAATAAACCTGCTTTTAAAAGTTTAATATATTAGATTCTGGGAGCCAAAATGACATCTTTATATACAGTGCTGCTAATATTAATATACAGGTGGGTGTTCTTCATTCCCCACAGTAAAGTCATTTATTCATATCATACATAAAGATCCACAGAGTCAAGTTATTGCAAAGGGCTGAACAAATTGTTGACATTTTCTTAATATAGCTTACCTTCCCTGTACAGTGATAGGCCTTACTGACATCAGTTTCTTTCTAGAATTTAAAATTTAACTAAGGCCATATCTGTGCTGCTATCCTGAAGGGGTACAATTCTCCAGGAATAACATTTTACATATTTCCCTTGACCAGAAGGCCAGTTTAATTCTCTAAATGATGGGTTCAATGGAGAATTGTCAAATCATTTTCCGATAGAATAATCTCATTAATACTAACCAGAAAAGCTTGAGAATGACAACACATGTCTTATTTTGTGTAATACACAGGGGAATAGATATACCTTCATTCCCATCAATAATTATGGAAATTAAACCTAGATGAATTAAAAGAGGCCTACATTTGTTACAGCAGATATAGTCAAAGCATCTTCTGCTGGTCTTTTGCAGAACCAGGAAAAATCTGTTGGACATTGTAACTCTCTAACATAATTGAACACCTTGTTCAAAACTCCCTTTCATCAAGAAGCAGCAGTTTTCCACAGTAAAGATGCTATTATACACACTGTCTGTTTTCCCTAAAACTGGGATTTTTGACAGTTTAATTGCAAAGCTCAAAACCATGGAGAAAGAGAATAATAAGATGGCTCAATGCTGCACTATAAGAATAACCCATAGTAATCTTTTGTCTTTTCCAAGTCCCAAAAGCAACCTGGAGACATGAAGCGTTAACTAAATTCTTGCCAAACACCAAGCAGAACACTTATATGTATAAGATTGAAAGCTACTCAATAGATCTGTAAAATTGCCAAAACCCTTAAACAAGATGGGAAGATGTTTAACTCTCTTCAAACATGCACTGCAATCCAGCAAAGAAAACCCCATGGATGAATCGATGTGGCAGCATCATGAAGCTCACCTGAGACTCACCCAGAGTTAGATAAGTCTCTGATGTGGATGGAATTCAATATCCAAAGCCACTAGATGTTGTGTGTGGCTAGAGCTGGATTAAGGCCATAGAACTCTGGTGCCCACTGGGAGTACTTCGTGGCACCTACAAGGACACTCCCATTACAAAGTTTTCTCCTCTTTTCATAAATAGCTTACATACCTGTTACTTTCTGCAAGGTAGGCCTTTGGCTCAGTAGTGCAAGCAAAGTTTACATTCTAGTAAGAATGTGTGCACTCTGAATCCCATATGCATGCAAAACTAAAATTTAGCTGTATTACCAGCTTGTATGATAGGTCAGGTGGCTTCACAAACAATCTGATCTGATTCTAAGAAAATTACTCAGCTTCACAAGAGCATTCATGCATCTGAAGAAGTCCTTGAGGATGATACAAGTCAACCATTTCCAATCTCCATTATGAAACTCATGTATGCTTTTCACCTGTAATAAATTTCAAGTGTGCTTATATGTACTGCTATCTTTTCAATAAAGGAATAGTTGCTGGAATAAGCCTGCTACAGTTGTTGGCAAAAGCATGACATTCTCACCTTGGATATATATGAACTATGAAATTTGGTTTCTCCAGTAATGAAAAGTGTTGGAAGAAAATGCAGAGAGAATGCATAGCATGTTGGTAAGTCAGTGTACAACAACTCTCTTTTTTAATGTCAGCATTTTCATTTCTAAAAAGGATTACACAACACATGTGAATATAATCTTGTTTCTTCCTACAGCTCTATGCAAAGATTCCTGAGCATCTACTGAACTCATGTGTAGAAAATATGGACATGATACCACTGGTGCAGTGGCACAAATCCTGTAGGAAAAAAAATGCCTTCATAAATTTCCAAAATTATTTTTGGTCACAGATCCTGCAAAAATGTCTGACAAAGAATGAAGTGTAATGTCCCTTACTCTCCAGCTGGGGGCAGGACAGGCTTACCTGCATAATAAACACACCCAATTTATTAAAATGCAGGGTCAAATTCAATAGGCAAAGGAAACAGCATAACCCTCCTTTAAAAACTATCCACTTACTGCTTATGTCAGTTTGGTAACAGAGAGGCAATACCTTATGCCTGTGCAAATACAGAGTTGTTATAATCATCAGGGCACCTTCAAAACAAGGGTCAGGTATCACATTTATTGGACAAGCTACACTAGGAATAAACTGGTTTAAATGTTATGATCATTTCTTGCAATCCTTGGTCCTCTTGGAATTGCAAGCAGTGGTTTCAGCAGTCAAATATCACCCCAAGAGAACTGCACTTTCCCAGTATTCTTTGCATGAGCACAGCAGTTGATCCCAGTTTAAAACCAGACTGGATAAATAGTATGACTATGTCACTAGATGAAATAGCAACTTCCTTTTCATGATGCTTGACATTTAGACTCTTAGAGGAGATCGGGCACCGAAAGCTTCTACCCTGTTCATTTGAACAGAAAATACACCTGCCTAGTGATTTGGCTCAACTGATTTGCAAACATTTATATCAATAGAAGTAACAGATTCAAAGTAAGTGTTAGGATTAGGATTAATAAATGACAGACAGCAATCCTTCAGTCACCTCTTAGTGAATAAGTTCTATGGAGCATAGAGGGATATCTCAGTAAACATGCATAGGTTCACACTGTTACAATGAAATCTTATGCACGCTTACTTGGAAGCTACTCTTACTATAGCACTGACTCCCAAGGAAGTGCAAAAAGGAGTGCAACCCGTATATGAATCACTAAGGGACACTGCACAGCATGCAAGCTGAAGAGTTTCCAGCATATACCCACCCAGCAGTTTAGCTGCCATGTGAAGTAGAGTGTCTCTAGCTTTCTGCCACATGTTCAGTTTCGTACCTGGCAGGGAAACTACACTAGATGCTTGCCATTCTCTCCTTAAGCAAGGGTAAATATTCTTCAGTTTGTTGAATCTCCAGTTCACATTATGTTTCTGTGATGTAAGGGGCAGAAACTAGAAATATTTACATCCAAGATGGACTTCTCTGGTCTTCATGCAATCATATTTTTCATCATCACTGGTTTTCAACTACTCAGTTGGACACATAAACAGACTGAGTACTGATTTGAGGTGTGTGGCACCAGTGATAGTCTAATATTCACATTTTGTATTTTAATGAGCAGAAAGAAGAGAGGAGAGAGGGTAATAAAAAAGGAAACTGAATGTTAAACCAACTATTTTCTGGTACTGTACATGTTTAGTGTCCTGGGAACTAATTTGATGTAAATGACAATCCCACCAACTCCAGAACAGAAATTCCCTGTACCCATGCCTAGTTAGGTGAAATGACAGAAGACCTCTCTTTGGAAAAACCTATTCGGAAAGGTTCATTAGGGCCTTTTATTTAGGGTTTTTTGAGCACTTTAAAAAACACACACATTTTAATGGCTTTTGTGGGATCATCTGCAAGCTTTTAGTTTTACCGTTTAAGATTTTTTTTGAGTGTAATGTGCTTTGTAACACTTACAACTGTTGGTGGGGATACTGTGATGATAGAAACTGGTGAATTTTTCTTATGCCTAATGTACACTATGTAAAGAATGGGCCAGTCTCTCACTCGTTGTAGGCTAAGCACTGGGAGTCATTGTCAGGTTTTGAACAGGAGCAGGAACAGGTGATGCTGAACTCTTTGAAGCTCCTCCAAGGTTTCTTAGAGAGGTTTCTCACACCGAGTGTGAGAGTCAATCTGTTTGGAAGAGATGGAAGGGTTTTCAGGAGGAGATGGGGAGCATATGGAAAACTAGTCCTTGTCCCAGTAGGAGGTGTTCGGGAAGATGAGCTGTTCATCTGGAAGGGCTTGTTTGATCTCACCATCTAGCATTTCAAAGGCAAGACCCAACAGCCATAATGAAAAGGTGGGACTGCCATGCTCTACTTTGGATTCAACTTTTTACATGAGCAGAGGCTTCTCCTTCCAGTGTTGATTAAAGGCTATTTAGAGTAGACTGTTCTGTCAGCTGTGGAGTTACAATAAAATAGCTGCATTTCAAAAGATTGTCTTGAGTTTCTGGAACCCAAAGGAAGGAGGGAAAGGACTAGCTCATGACACATTGTTGAAAAGGTGGCCAATGAATTAATCAAGCAAAGAGAAGTGAGGGAGAGCAGAGGAAGGAGTTAGTTATATGGGAGCTCAGCCCTTTTGTTGTGGCAAAAGGGGGCAAGATGTCTCATGTGAAGATGCAGTGAAACTTTCCAGAGGCTATTCAAACTCCCTGCTCTAGGAATGCCCAGAGAGAAACTAGAAAAGAAGTGGGAGCAGAAAAATGGACCATTAAAAGCTCTTCCCCTGAAAAACTGAGGTCCCACAGAGCAGGCAATGCTAAGCTCCATACAAGGTGCTGAGCAGGGAGCATACCTTCTTTTATTTTCCCCCCCTTCTGCCCTGCTAGTAGGCCAAAGATGGATGACACATCCCTGGGGGACAGGCAAAGCATCTGATGGTGAAAGAGGGACATATGGATGAAATAATGAGTCTTTTATTGCTTGTTGAAGTTAAAGGTGAGCCCTATGCCTAAAAAGACTGAAGATGGCCTAGATCACAGTGAACTGTGGACAATTCAGGAACTTAAAAAGAGAAATGTGCATTTGAAACTGATTGTGGACAAGAAACTGTGCTGCCTGTTTGGCTATAGGGTACATGGCTCCTATTCAGTATTGTACTAGTGATACTTAAAAAATTAAATACATTGTGTAAAACCAGACACATTTAATCGAGGGGCATGATCAAAATCTTTTAAAGTATAGTTCAGCTGAAGAAATCATTTATCAGACCAGTTCAGGCAAAAGAGGGAAATTCCAGTAGAAGGCACCTCCACTGCAGAACTATCCAATGCTTCTGCATCTTTTAGGCAACTTCTTCCAAAATTTGAGATTTAAGTTACACTGCCAGGATAAACAAAGAACAGTCTGACCAACAGGGATAATTGTGCTAGAAGCAGCATTTGGAAGTACAAAATGAACTGGAGATACAGATTTTTGACTATGCCATTCCTATTTCTTAGTACTAGTTTCAAGCCTCAGAGGTACTTTCCCAGCACTATCACTTAAAATAAGATGCGGGAGTGTCCCTGCTGAAGCCATCGTGTCAATCGTACACCCTCGTCAAGCCGTTCTTTCTACTGTTCTCTCTCAATACTGAGGGCTGCTTCATACACGTTTAGCAGGCAGGCAGTGTGGCCCCACAGAATGTGCTTGTTAAAACTGCAACAGCTGAACTGGCTACATATTTTCACTCCACTTTGTGGCCTGGGCCAATAGAGAGCTTTTAAACAGCCCATGGTTGCTTCAAGTTGTATACAGGCTGGGATGTGCCTTAGATAGTTGTGCTGTTATTGTATATAGCTTTTGCTATTAAGAAAAGGCTAGTCTTTCGCTCAAATTGGATGCTGCAGTGACATGGCCTTTCGGTTGCTGGAGAAAGTATTCCAAGTATAACCTTTTGAGATGAGGCAGCACAACATAGAATCTAAGAAGCATTTCAGAAGTCACTACTTCTCCCAAAAATGGCTATTTTTGGAAGCTTAACTGGTTGATGACATGCCAAGCCAAGAAGAGATGCTAGAGACCTTCTCTGGCAACCATTATCCTCCTCAAACTAAGAAGTAATGTGCAAACAGACTCTATTGTAACGCAAGTGCACACACTCATTTGTGGCTTAGGGATGTGCTTCTAGCCCTTGGCTCTTGTGTTGCTCACCACAGTATTCTAGATTATTGCTAGGTGATGGCTATTGCCAATGTGAAGAACTCCCTCAAGGTGGGCAGAACTACATGGTATACAAGACAGGAGACCTTTATATCATAACATACAGTAACACTTGAAACAATGGCATGACATGGGATACTTCCTCATTTCCAGCTGGAGCAACCAAAGGTGTTGAGTGGGTTGGGGCAATGCACAAGGTCATGACAGCACAGCATGGGGTAGGTGTACTTACACATTTTGATGGGGACAAGCTCACATGGGGATGAAGTGTGTAGTGGTAGGCCTGTGCCATTCCAGAATGTGTTGTACTACCTAAATGTATTAAGTTAGCTGCTTTTCAAGCCTGGGAGGAAGTATTTTTTTTTAAAAAGCATTAAGTGGAATAGGTCAGAGTACAATATGGAAATCACAGTCGATTAGAGAAATTTGTACCAAACAAACTGGCCACAAACTTCAGCCAACCCTTTAGGCATAGTAGTATCGGCCAACCACAAAGATTTGAGAGTCCAAGTGGTAGGAAATAATGTTTAGATTAATGGAAGGGCACATCCTTTCCCCAACAGTGTATGTCAAAATATGCACAAGTGCAAGGCAAAAGAACTATCACGAGAAAGTTATACAAGAACCACAGATTCCTTTTAGCTGTATCACTCCTCTAAGGAGTGCCAGATATCCCACCCATCCTTAAAACGGTTGAAATTTGCAGAGGACCTACCTCTGTTAAGAGTCGTAATTGGCAGTGCAATGACTAAGTCCCAACTGTGTAATCACATAACAGGCTACACTTTCAGGCTGGCTGTTATAGTAAAGTGCATACATCTTCTGTGTGCAAAAACCTCTAACAGTCTATTTCTTTGCTTGTAAAAGTGTTGGATCTCGATAGTATCCCTTTGCTATTGGTACACCTAGGATGTGTATGAGATGATTTGTGTTCCCTAAGTGCCATTTTGCCAGAGCACAAAAACACAGGAAAGCCTAGGAATTGAAATGTTATATCAGAGGAGGTTTGTAATCAAGTGGGTTTAACGGCTTTTCACTCTAATGGACAATATGAGTATGCAAGTATGCAATAAGGAGTTTTATCCCTGGACTTCTCTTTGCCACTGACATTTCCTTGATTTTAATGAAACTGCAAAAGCAAAGTAAGGTACTTAAATAAATTAGGTAGAGCCTGGCCTTATTATGACCAATCCAGATTTTCCCATTTAGCAGTGGTAACAACCAAGGTTTGTTAGTGATGCAACATGCCCGCCCAGCTTGGATTTCTCCATCAGTTAAGAATGGATTTAAATCAGGAAATTCTACAGCACCCATGTACTTTCTCCTCCATTTCTTCCATGGGAGCTTTGAATTTCAAGATAGGTGGATCACCACTTGACACTGTGTAATAAATGGAAGTTCCATTGGATGTATAGGAGGGAGTCCTGGAGTTAATCAAATGCTCTTTAGCTTCTCCCCCTTTTTCTGCTGTACCTCCCACATTGCTACCAAAGTGTGTACTGATGAAAGGGTGATTGAGAAGCTTGGCTGCTGCCCGTTGCCGTTTCAGCTCAGAAAGGGTTTGGTGGCTCCTTTCTTTGTAACCACCCCAGATCTGATGAGAATCGGAGACTTCGGGGGTATCATAGGGTAATGGTTGGCTTGCATCAATGTCCAGAGTAGAATGCATTGTCCAAATGTCTCCATTCGGGATAGAGTACTGGTAAGTGGGGGAGGATAAGCTTAGCCCGTTCTGGAGCAGAGTTTCTGAGTCACATTGCGTGCTTTTGGTTACCAGTTCTGGAATGACTGGGGATGCATCTTCTGTAGAGTTCTAAAGCAGAAAATACATGAAGAAGCTTAGTTATGATTATCCATCTACTACTCATCAGTCGATCAACCCCAAGAGCCTGTCCCCTCTACTGCAATAAGCTGACCCATGGCTTTTTTCTGATGGCTTACAGAAGTATTCACAACTGGACAAGATGTCCCGTACAGGACAACTTGCTCACATTCTTTTAATCTTTACTAATAATTTAACCAATCTACCTGGGGAGAAAGTCATGTGAGATTGGTATGGGGCTAGTGAAGAACATATACTGGGGATTTGGAAAACAGAATTTCTCTAGAGCATATGGTATTAACATACTCCTTAAGGTTCCCCGATTGGAAATGAATGAATTCTTATGGTATGACTAGGTTATTATTGTTCTGTCCTTACTGGATCTGTGTTCTCTTGGTTGGAGCAAACCTCCCGGACGTCACCATTGTAGTCAGAAGTTCTTGGCTCTTCAGAAGACTCTATTTGCTGCCAAATTATTGCCTCCTTCTCATACTCCTTCCTGTAAAGGTTTGTCCGGTCAGAAAGGCTTGCCCTCCGTACCACTTTCCTGAGCAAAAAACAAAAAGATTAGTAGAGGAATAACTAAGAGAATAATTCTTGAAAGGGCAATCTCCTACATCTGTACTTCCAACACACAGGGCCATCTCAGGATATTTTAAGGAGTTTCATGAGTTATTCATAATAAATAAAGAAAGTAACCATTATCGTGTGCATAGGACAATACAGAAATCAGGAAAGCTTTCAAAAATAGAGTAAACTAAATTCTGGAGGTTGAAAGATGATATATCTGCATTTGAGCACATGAACAGTAGTTTTGTGCTCTCATTAAACTCCTAAGAAGCAACTCTTTTATTTCTTTAAAAGGTACTTTCTAGTCTTCAAGGAGAGAGTCTATAGCAGGGGTCCTCAAACTTTTTCACCAGGGGGCCAGTTGAAAGGTGCCGGTACTGGGCGTGGGCTGGAAAGGTGGTGCCAGCAGTGCGCGGGGGTGGCACATGCGGGTGCGCACACTGAAGCAGGGGACCGTGGCGCGTGGTGAGGTGCGGGCGGGTGCACGAGGCAGCATCTTGCTCGCTTGGAGATCATTTTCTGCAAGCGAGCAAATGGCTGCCTCCCTACACATGGGGCGAGGTGGGCGGCGGCGAGCACATGCGCGGCAGGTCAAAATGGGCATGGCGGGCCAGATAAATGGGCATGGAAAGCTGGATCCGGCCCCTGGGCCATAGTTTGAGGACCCATGGTCTATAGGAATTGGGCTCACTCTTTGAGCCTTCAAAAGGTGTTGGTTCAGATGAAGCAGCCTTCAAAAGGTGGCGGTTCAGATTTTGATTCAGAAGTGGAGAAGCGGCTAGATGTCTCAGCTGACTAGTCAAGACCAGCAGACCCTCACATAAGGCTGGCAATTTCTGAGAATCAGACAGTGCAAACTTTATCACAAACAAGTATCACAAACAAGCTGATGGGCGAGGGAACACACCAAACATCATCACTCGTATCATTTGGCATTAGGCTGAAAAGGTGGACCAACTGAGAAATGTCAGACATTCCAAAATTAGCAGGATCCACCTTGAAGATGGAGTCTGTTATATTTGGAAGGGAGAAGAGGCATTCCGTTTGGAATCAACTTTGTATCATTAAGCCACAATTCTTTATGGGCCAGCACTCTCACTTTGTCTGCTCCCTTTGATACTGACATCTGCAATACTCTTCTTTTGTAGCACAAATCCAGCTTAGCTAGTTGTCTTTAGCATAATACAGACTTAGTTAGAAAGCCTTTGCCCTGATCTGCTTGGAAGGAGCGGGGAAAGACTGTCAAATGGTGAGTGGAGTGTTAGATACTCTATCTCCACTCAAACAAGAAGCTCACTGTGTGACCTTGAACCATAATTTTCAGCTTGAGTCACAGGAACATAGGAAGGTGTCTTAGTCTTGGACCATCTTGTCCAATATCATTGGTCCAATATAATTAAAATGACTAGCAGCAGCTTTCCAGAGTTTTATGCAGGCCTTTTTTGCAACACTACCTGGAGACGCCTGGGTTTGATCCTGGTACCATTTCCACACAAGGTTATAGCCTCCTTCTGAACTGTATTTAGGCTGAGACTTTTTTAGTCATCCCTTGTAGCAATGCAGTTAGAATGTATTAATATACAAATATAGCAGGACTGATCAGCACAGGTTTTCCAGTTGCCTCTGCAGCATGTTGCATCATAATTGTTTATTAAGGATATAAATATAAGCTTCCATGTATGTATGCATGTATGCGCACACAAACACATCTTTAGAACGTAACTTCAACTTCCACAGGTTATGTCAAGAAGAGCTACTTGCATGTGAAATTATTTAAAGAATTGGAATCTACAGTTCACGAGAAAGCCAGTCTTTCTCCAGCTGGATTTCTTCCAAGTGTTTTGGATTTTAACTTCCATCAGCCCCAATCAGCATAGCCAATGGTTGTGATTTCTGAGAGCTTTAGTCCAAAACAACTGGAGAGCATCAGGCTGGAAAATAAAGAACTTGACCAAAATCACACATGCATGTTAATTCTCATTGCAGAAGATTGCCTTACTTCATTTAATGAGCATTAATATTTAGAAATTATGCTGTACTCAGTTTATAATGTCACAACACCTCCCTCTAGCCAGTATAAGAGACACTCCCCTTTTCCTGTGATGTTAGCTCAATTTGCCCCACAATTAAACTAAGTACAGCCCTATAATATGGTGTCCAACCTCATTCTTTCCACATTGTCTGCCCCTAGCAACACAACACAATGGCCTTCCTGTAAATTTCACCTCTATACTGTCTTGTCAAATAATATTAGGAACTCCAGCACTGGTGAGATTGCATTGTATTTTACTATTCCCTTTTCCTTTCTTAAAGTGTAGTATGTATGTATATATTTAAAGCTTTTCTATACTGTCCTCATAAACAAAAGTCTCAGCATTGTCCTCCCAAGACCAACAACTTGCCCTTTCCTCTCATCTCCTAACAGTTGCACAATGTTCCAACAGGAAAAAAAAAGTTAATAGTGACCAATGTCACTTCACTATGGGGCAAATAAGTTCTTAAGATATTTTAAAGTCATTTCCAAATGTGCACAATTGAATTTAAAAAAACATAGTGGACAGGTCACTAAACATTTGCTTCTGATAAAACTTGTCTGCTCAGACATATCCCAGAAGATTACAGGAAAGTTGAAGTGGAGTTCATGCATAGCCATCAGCTGATACCTAAACGACAATTCTTTCTTTCACATAAGCACACAAGCAGGACAGATTCAAATGTGTTTAGCAGGGGGCATAGGAAATCCTGATGTTTGCTAAGTAAGCTCTTCCTATCGGTCTTCTTCCTATTCCTTCCATCACATGGGCACCAAAACCATCACACTACCTGGCAGAGGCCCTATTTGAATGCATGCCCCCCTCTGTATGTGGAAAGATTCTCACTATGTGGATGTGTTACTTATGCACTGGATGTGTTACTTATGCAAATTTTGTAAGTAACACATCCAGTCAGACCTTTCCCCCCACTCCCATCAAACCTGTTTTTGGTAACATTTTTTGTTTGATGAAAGATCATGAAAAATCACACATTTTTGTAATCTGAATTGGCCTAGCAAAGGTATTACACTACAGTTTAGATATCATCTAACTGCCATCACAGCTACCTGTATTTTATTTTTTAAACATTTTAAGGTAACTTGCTCTGAATCATACTAAGCATTGCTTCCACTAGGTGGCCCTCATTCCATGCTAGCAAGTTCTTTGTCTCACAAGATAAGAGGCTGAGAAAAGATGAGAGCAAGCTCATTCCTTGCACAGTCCCTCTTTTTTCAGTGAAAGTGTCTATTTTAACATGATAGAACTGTTGAAATTAGCACAGTAAATTCTTTGGAAAGACCAACTATACTTTTTGCTTAAGTCACTCTGCAAAACAACATGTACAGTAACAGAGCATTGATGATGATAGCAGCAGCACCACCACCAGTAACAATAATTTTGGCCCCATTAAAACAAATTAATTATTCTAGCAGATTGCTTTCTTCCAGCTCAAACCTACATAACAAGGCCCAAAAGCTGGGCTGGACAGTATGCTGGGGCAAAGAAGTCTGCATTCAGATTCCTGAACAACCATATAAATTCACTAGATGAGCTGAAGACAACCACTTTCTCTTCCAACCTACATCACAGGATTGTTGTGAGGTATCGGGAGAGATCATGGGCCTTTTGGAAGAAAGGCAGAGGGAAATACAGTTAGTATCTATCTGTGCTTGTCCTTTAGACAGTGATTTGTGAAAGAGCTAGCAGCAGCCTACAAATAAAAACTTAACATCTGTTGCCTTCAGAGGAACCTGAATTATTGCAGATGGAAAAAGAACATCCTAGGTGTGATTTTAATTTTCAGTTGAAGCTCATACTTAATCCTTGTGTCTTGAGACAAAACCTGATTGCATTAACCTGCTAGCATTTCTGCTGCTTAGAAATAAGCCTCATATTGAAAATAAGACAAAGAAAGTTCAGAGTCACCTGCAGCCAGTGAAGAAGGCTACTGAGAGGGAACCTACAAAGCTGAGACATAACATGCCTTGAGACAGAGAAACATCTAGCAAATATGGCATTTCCCTGCTCACTTACCCTCTGCTTCCAGTGCTGGAAGTTCTTCTGCTCAAAGAGGACTTGTGTCTCATCTGAGACTTCATAATGACATCATGCTTATGTTTCAGCTCTAAGAGCAGAACTTTAAACTCCTCTTCTTCACATAGATCTAAAAGAATACAAACCAAACCCATCACGTGAGCTATTCTGAGATGATGAAGCCACAGGAAAAAGTGGCATGCTAACTAATGTTTTACTCACACAGTGTATTATTAGGAATGCTGTAATGTCAGCATCAGGACTTAGGATAAGAAATAGGAGAGTTAATCCATGTAAATGAACATGAATTATATTCAGTGTGGGACTTCACAGAAGCCCAGCTTAATGATAAAATGATTGCAAGGAAACATGCAAGGAAAAAACTGGTCCATTTTGACATGCCTTCCTTCAAAAGGTGTTACTGTTAGGATTGGGCAGATCACTCTGTTTTGGATCCATGTCCCTTTTGCATGTCTTTATTCATAAATTAATTTCTGCGTAAAGTCATGTTGCTTTCAAAAGAATCCACAGGCAATTCATACTTAAAGATATATTTGTAGTTGAAGTATTATTTCAATACATGTAATGCATTTTGCAAAAATACAAATTTCCACATGTATTTTCTCTTAAAATATGCATTTCTAAACCTATTTTCAACATACGTATTCATAAAAGCATGTTGGTATATTTTTAGATTGCACAGAACTGATTGGGTCAGTTCATACCAGAATTCACAAAGATCGGATTCCTCAAACGTCCCTAAATTGATGCCCATGGCACAGGAAGCTGAAAAGAAGTGTGTGCACGCATGCTTGTGCACATGAGAGCACGTGCACATGTGTGCTCTGATTGTAGGCCACAGAATGTTAAAAACAGTTTTCAGAGGAATCTGATCATTATGTGGTTTCACGTGTCCTAAAGAAAGACTGAAAAGCTTTTGTAAAGCATAGCATTCCTGTGATGTGGACACAATCCAAATTGATCCAGACCTTTCCTCTTGTTTCTTTTTGAAGCTATACAGTTCTTACTATACTAAGAGGTATAAAGCATATTTCCTAGAGGATAACACAATAGCAGTCTCCGAGGAATGTAACCCAACATTTCATATTCAATAAACCTTAGAAAGGAATCTGAAGGATTATCACAGTAAACAAGGAGGAATGATGTGCCATTATACAACCACATTTTGTAAAGTGCATCTGTAGACAAGGTATGACTGCACCACCAATTGTTCCTTATGATTCTTTTACAGGCTGGAAAACATGCTAAGCTCACGGTGTAGTGTCTGTAAGTGAACAGCCTCTATCTCCCATTCTTAGTGCCTGAATCCTGCCACTCCCATACATACTCTTCTGGGGGCATCTTTGATTTTCTCCAAATCCCTTTTGGAGTCATATGGGTTAATCTGACAATGATGAGCCAGTATAAACCTTTTCTGACATCAACGGGGAAATAAGCACTTAATGCAAAAGGACCTTGAAAGGACAACAGCAAAATTTTCCTGTGGCACAGGAGTCACTTTGGGGACATCTCCAAGAAAGGTAGCCACGGTCTCTCCAAAGTGGCCCTGGTGGTTGCAGGGGGCCGCAGTGGACAGTGAACCTGTTTGAGCCAACCAAAGGAGAACAGCTCACAAAGGGAATCGGGATAGCTTTAAGTTCACAGTGCTGTTTAGTCCCACTGATTTACCCAAGAACAGAAACTGCAAAAGGGGGGAGAATTACAATTCACCTATTGGCATCTCATCCATGATTGTTCGGGCACTTAAACTTGCCCCATGGGACACTAACAGCTCTGCCATGTGCATCTGAAATAAAGGAAATGAAAAACACTTTAGGAATCTTCCAAGCCATGGTCATATCACAATCAAATGAACCTAAAACCAAAAGAGAACTGCAGCAGCATCTCACATCCCACAGTGGCTCAACTGGGGCATGAAGGCAATTAGTGCATCACCACTCACACCAGCTGTAGCTCCCTGGAAAATTGCATGCAGAGCCACTGCTTTTGAAAAATGCCTCTATTTAGCAACAGTTACAACAGCCACTTAGAAAGCTATCTTCTCTGAGACTGCCCTCTCTCTGTTTCAAAAGGTTTGCAACAAAAACACATACGTGTCCCCAGAAGGCAGCAGCATGGAGAGGTTCCCAGCCATCCCAGTCCTTGAGGTCCAGTCTTGCTCCATGATCTAGAAGAATCTCTGCTGCATGCAGGTAGCCGTTAGCTGCAGCTATATGTAACTAAGACAAGGGGAAGGAAAGTCTTGTAAGACTATCTCAAATCGCCATGAGTTTCCTTCCCTCTGCATGAACTGTGCCCAGAATCCTATGTGACATTCCCAGCTCCAGCACATGCCACTTATACTGAGCTCTCATCCAGTTTTGCTTCTGTCTTGTAAACTCAAGTTTCTTCTGTAGCTCACCACAGCTACCAGCATATAAAGCTGCCAGAAGTTAATCTGCCAAATTTAAAGTTAACATTAATGTTCTTAAGTTGATACACATTCAAGCTCATTTAATGCTTGATTTAAGCACCGTTTTGTTACCATGAGCAACTCAATGAAAACACCAAAACTATTTTTTCTCCATGTTGTCTACTAAAGCGCTACTTATGTGGAAGAATTCACACAATTCTACATTTATTGTGCAAAAGTGTTAGAAGAAAGCCTTCTCCAACCTGGTGTCCTCCAGATGTTTTGACCAACCTCTCCCAGAATTCTTAACCATTGGTCAGTCTGGCAGAAGCTAATAAAAGTGGAAGTCATAAACATCCCTAAATTGGTAGAGGAAAGTTGGCATACACCATGGGTGATGAATTTTCTCCTAATTCCCCGTAAGGAATCACTGAATGGGTTCAAGCTATGTGGAAATCCATTGCAGGTGACTAATCACCGTGGGTTGTCATGTCATGTGAACCAAGACTGCTTCATGAATTAAATCTCTGTATGCATGCCCCTATTTTAAAAGAAACCTGTTTAGCCCTGTCAAGTTCCCTATTTTCAAAGAAATCTTTACTCTTGACAGCTTTGGGGGTTGGCTGCACTTTTCCACTTTTGGGAGAACCTGGAGGCTCAGGAAAGGATGGAAAAGGTGGAGGATACCAAGAACAGTCAGATCCTCTTGAAACAGTGAGAGCCACATAAAGGATTTCACTGCAAAGGGGGTGATGTACATGCCATGCTCTTTCACAAGCAAAGAGCTTCTTGCAGCTTTTCTTTCATTTCTGTTTGACAGCTGTCCAGCGAAGGCAAAGCAACATATATGAAGCCTGGCCTTAATAGAAGGCACTTAAAAGGACATTGGCCAGGCATAGCTTCAGATAGCAAGTAGAGTTGCATACTTGTGCAACTCCAAAATAATCTCCCACCACTCCACATGACAAAAACCATGAGCCAGTGTGGTGTAGTGGTTAAAAGCATGGGACTGGGACTCAGGCAATCTGGGTTCGAGTCCCTGCTCAGCCATGGAGCCACCTGGGTGACTTTGGGCCAGTCACAGACTCTCAGCCCAACCTATTTCACAGGGTTGTTGTGGGGATAAGATGGAGGAGGAGAATGATGTAAGCTGCCTTGAGCCCTTTGTAGGAAAAAGGCAGGATATAAATAAAAAAATACAAATAAATAAATAAAGCTGTGCAAGTTCCTGGCATAAAAACAAAAAGGCAAACCAGTAATGGTTCCTCTAATGTGTCACTCAGGCAATTTGTAGAGGCTATAATTGGCGATCCTTTCAGAATTTTAAAAAGCAATCTTTTTGGGGGGGGGGGGCACAAATGAAACCAGGGAGAAACAGCCTTTAGCAAAAGGGGCTATGATTATAGCAGGGAAAGGAGCAAGAGAGCCTCTGCTGCACAGGTCCCTGGGATACCTATGAGAAGACTGAGGAGCAGGCAACACCACACAGTGAGCCCAATCATTAAAAGACACTTGCTCCTGGGGAGGAAGCTATAGCAAATCTAGACAGCATACTAAAAAGCAGAGACAGCACCCTGCCAACAAAAGTGCGTATAGTCAAGGCTATGGTTTTCCCAGTTGTATGGCTGTGAGAGTTGGACCATAAGGAAGGCTGAGCATTGAAGAATTGAGGTCTTTGAACTGTGGTGCTGGAGAAGACTCCTGAGAGCCCCTTGGACTGCAAAGAGATCACATCAGTCAATCCTAAAGGAAATCAACCCTGACTGCTCTTTAGAAGGTCGGATGCTGAAAGCTCAAATACTTTGGCCACCTAATGAGAAGGAAGGACTCATTGGAAAAGACGCTGATGCTGGGAATGACTGAAGGCAAAAAGAGAAGAGGATGGCACAGGTTGAGGTGGCTGGGTAGTGTCACTGGGGAGATGGGTGTGGGGTTGAGTGGACTCCATGGAATGGTAGAGGGCAGCATCCATGTTGTCCATGCAGTCGCAGAGTCAGACACAACTTTGCAACTGAAAAGCAACAATTTACAGGGTGGGTTGCCATGCCCTGAAAATGCAGCCACTGCCTCCCTTGCAAAACAGTCATTTCCAAACAGATGTTGCAAAGAGATGCATGAGAAATCTTGAAGGTTTGCAAGTCCAGTTATATTGAAAGCAGAGAGCCTCCAACCCCATCAGCAGCAGAAATACAATGGGAATATGGCTCACCAGTGTAGCACCTTGTGCATCCATTCTGTTAAGATCCTGTCCTGTTGCTAACATCTCTGTGATATCATCAACCATTGTCTGTTCTGGAGCAGCTCGAGTCTCATTGATTTTCTCCTGTGTGATTCCTAGAGTGAATAAGAGGAGACAGCTGTAAAAATTACAGAAACAGGAATATCAAGCTGTAAAACATCATACAGTTGCATTTGTTCTGATAGAAAAATGGTTTTGGTTAGCTGGGCTAACACATAGGGGGCAAACAGGTAAAGAGACCCCTGATACAGTCTTTTTGAAAGTCTGATTAATGTGAACTGCTTGCCCATACACACGTTTTAAATTCTGTGGGAGAAAGCCTGATCAGGGAGGCAGGATCTGGTGCAAAGACACAACAGATATACAGTGGGTTAAGCACGCATCTCTGTTGTTTGTCTGTTCCAAATTCAGCCCTATTATAGCAATTTTTAAAATAAAAATGCCATCATGATCCATAACTGCTTTATTTTCATGTTGTATTTTTAACACAAAATATCATTTGGATAAAACTTGCAGTTTCCAACCCTTTAGACATCTACACGGAAAGCATCACTGGCTGAGTAGTAGAAGAAATGGCTGGACCGATGGGCAGAAAACTCTCTGCTGGACTGCAACCATTAACCTCAGAGGAGAAGCTCTGGCGTGCACATGGGCATGCACCGGGCTTGAAATGAGGAGCTGCTGACCTGTTTTCTTGGAGAAGTGGTTTTCTTATGCTCATGTTAGAATACATACTTACTAAAAGAGACAGAAGTTTGGTTCAGGGTCAGCAGCTGAACAATGATACTTTCTACTTAAATAATTTCATGGATGAAGAACTGCATAGTGCAACCTTATAAAGGTCACTTGGAAGTAGGTCCAACTGATTTCAAGTGGGACCTACTCACAGGTAAATATGTATAGGATTGCAGCCTCCATGTCCCAGATGTTCAGCTTCCAATCAGAAAAGCAGTGTCATGGGAAAGAAAACAAGAGTACTGAGACACCTCTGAGACACCTGTTCTCATCTCTTGCCTTACCCTGGTATGCCATGCAGGTCTCAATGACATCTAAGGTTGGTTCATCTTCACAGAGGTCATATGGCATGTTGCCATCTGCATTCACTGCCAGTAGATCTGCCCCACTGCAAGGAGAAAGTCAGAAATGAGCAGTATCTGCATTTCTGGATGCAAGGTGATCAGGGCCTACAGGGTAATAACTCAAATATACCACCAGAAATTAAAGATCAAACTCTTGATACGTAAAAGGCAGCAATGTGTATCAATTTTTAAAAACCCAATTACAGCCACATGCTGAAGGTGGAAGAGGGAAATTAGCTTTACAGGAAAGGCAGCACCCAAGTCAGGAAGGTTTATCTGTTCCATCCATGGTGCAACTGAAATCAATTTCACTCACCAAGCCAGCTAAATGCTTTGGGGGAAATGGAGACACTTTCCCCTAAGCCTTCTAGTTCCAGGGAGCAGCAAAATTGGTCCCAATGCACTCAGGGGGGACAACATAAATCTCCTTGCATCCTGTGTTCCCTGTAAGTATTGTGTGCCCCACCCCCACCCCTGCACCTGCAAACAAAATCGATATATATATAGCCACATATTGCATATCAAGAGAATTGGCCCATAAGAGTGCCTTACTGAAAGCTTATTTGGCTGGGTGGGTCTCATGGGTAATTTTCTTAAGTACTAAATCATGCAAAGTAGGTTCGAGCCAGTTAAGCAAGACACTACTTTGGCCATAGGAATCTGCAACCCTGTGACAACCTTTTCTGCTTCCCCCTAGGAAAGCTTGCCACCAAGATGACAAGGAAAGGCAACTGCTAAGACAACTTCTAAGGCAAGCTGAACATTCTTCAACCTGTTCCCTGATCTATGTCCTTGGTGAACAATTATTCCCTCCTACATGAGGGGATTAAGTAATGTGTGGAAGTCTCAAATCAGGGTCCCCAGTGACTGCTCTACAGTGTGGCTTTCCTTCCGTAACTGGGTGCTCCCCAGATCTGTTGGACTGCTATTGTCATTATTACTATTATGGGAGCTGCAGTCCAATGCATCTGTAGGGTACCTGGCTGGGGAAGGCTGCATTAGTGCCTTACCTCCTTGTCCCTCAACAAATTGGGCTCTTTAAATCAAGGAAGGCCTCTAGACTGCAGTTCTAGCCTGGAGGCGACCAGCTCTGGAACACTGGCCAGCAGGGACACCTTTGGCCTTATAAAGCCCTCACATCTGATTTCGCTCCTCACTCTGAGCAGCTTGCCTCACCAAGCTGCTACTCAGGATCCTGTGCCTTGCCTTTCTTTCTCTGCAGTCTTCCCACCAGCCTGCCTTTGGTTGCTAGAACCAGCCTCACCACCCAGGTTCTGTTCTGCAACTTGTCCTGGAGCTTGGCTGGCACCTGGTGTACCTACACACCTTCCTGGTTCCCTTCCCCCCTTTCTCTCAATCATCCCATTCTATTTGTGAAAGACACCAAAGCCGACAGGCTTGCTGCTCTGCTTCATTCCCAGGAATAAGTAACTCCTGTCCCTGTAATAAGATATAAGAGACGTACCAGGGCATTCTGAGTCTTGAATGTGAAAATAATATTCTAATACAGATTACGCTTGATCTGCCTTGACATTTTCAGCCTTTGAAGTGGAGACCAGGCAACCACTCGCATTGATATTCATGTTCACTTTTTCCTCCCCCACAAGAGCAGAGGAAATTACTATGTAAAATACACTTACAAGCTATTTTTACAGAGTCTGTCTAAATCAGCAAACAAAGTACAGGATCAGACATCCTTTGTGTTGCTGCTACCTCTACAGGTCTCTCCAGGCTCCATGTTCTGACACTGAAGCCTTTTGATTCTGCATTGAACAAGGCGCTTTGATGTGAAAGCCTTCTTACAGAACACCACTTTGATTGAAACAACCACATACTGTGTTGCATTCTTTAAAAACACACACACATAAAACCAAATCCCACTCCATTGCCCCTTCTGGTACAGAGTCAAGTCACATGGTGCAAAGATGACAGGCGCATTCTTATTAGTGAGGCAGTGGCTGAGCGGCATTTATCCTATCACATTTTTATTCCTCAGCTCTTCCAAAAAGCTCAGTGCAATATAAGGTTCTTCCTGACAGCAAATTTGTGCATTTTTTCTTTTTAAGTAAAATAATTGTGGGTCATACCCAGTTTGTTTTCAGATCCAATTCCCTTTGTGGATCCTTAACCGTTTTGAGACCAGGACTTATCAAAGACCATCACTGTGCTAATCAGGAGAAATTTTGTTCCCTGACCCTTGGTCCTATGAAGTGAAGAGGATGAGGATGCTTGATGAGGCCATCTGGTCAATGCCACCTAAGCAGCAGCAGAACTGTATGGTTCATGGAATCTTGCTTATCACCTCACTAGATGGTTTTGGGTAGGAAGCCAAGGTATTTGTGCATGTGGTTCTGGAAGTCCTTGCTAATTTTAAGTGTCCTGATTTATAGATCTGGCTGCTGGTTTAAAACAAAATTTTATTGTTGCAGGTGATTGAGTTGTTTTCATGGTTCTTGTGGTTTTATTCCTGGTGCACAGTTGATCCTCTGTGACTCTGCTGCCTGGTCCCTGTTTTTAACTGGCTATGCCAGTGACTGAACTGTTTGTATGCAAAATATGTGGTCTGCCACTAAGCGATGGTTCCCCCTCCCCAATACAGACAGGCAGATGCATGCAAGTATGCATAATATTCAGGACAGCTTAAGATTAATACAAGTTATTAATATAACTTAGTATTAATATGATGTTCTTTGCTTAAGAACCTAAGTAGTGTCCTGCTAGAGCACAGTTTTGACAAACTGGTATTAGATGACTCACCTGAAATTGACCATTGTCAGAAACTGGCCAGTGCATCATGAACTACATTCTGGCAACCTGTAAAGCAGGGGTGGAAAATCTGTGGCCATCTAGATGTGAGACAACAATTCTTGTCACCCCTGACCATGCTGGCTTAGGTTGAGAAGAGCTGGAGTTCAGCAACATCTGGACTGACATAGGTTCTGCACTTTGCTTTAAAGTATATGCCCTTGTTTATATCAAACAGTAACATGAAAAGATGTGGCACAAATCGTATCTTGACTTCTGCCAAGTCTTATTTCTGTGTAAATTGATGAAGATAAGAACACCAAGGCTACTTATTCATGGGAAAAAACCAGGACTGCTGCTCTGGGAAGCAAATCTGTAATGAGTGTTTTATGTAGCTAGATCCTCAAAGAATTTGCTCGTCTTGTCTCTGGCTTAGTGGTGGCTGGGTGAGGAAGCATGCTGCACTTGCCATAGACCAGAAGCAGAGGAATGGATTCCGATGGGAGAGATGCCCACTTAGTGGTAACATTCCTTTGTGTAAGAGCCCCCTACCCAAAAAAGCAGAATGATTTATAGGCTGTCCCCACCTGAACTCTCTAGGTTGTCCAGCCACTTGAAGGGAATAAACTTAAAAGTATAAATTTGGAAAGCACTGACAGGATATCTGTTGCAAATTTCCAGAAAAGTGTTTGGATTTTGGGAGTTTAACATACTCAGTTAAACACAAGATCCTCCCAACCTGTATCCAGCACTAGGCTGGCCCAAGCATAAAACACAAAATATGACAGGTCACCTACTGCTGAATCAAGACCTTCACCAGGTTGATGTGTCCGCAGGTTGCAGCCGCATGCAGGGGAGTCCACAATTCATTGTCCTTTGCATTGACATTGGCTCCATGGTTCAGGAGCAGCTTAACTATCTCTTCATAGTTGTCTATGCAGCACTGTTGAGGAATCAAAGCCAGCAGAGTTTAGCTTTACTTTGTATGGACAATCCTTTCTTTGGAGCAATGGCAGATGCTTCCACTTTATTGCCACCTGATCTAGCATAGGCAGCCTGGTAAGTGTACAACTGGAATGGAAGAAAGTTGAAGGTAAGGGGCCGCATGCAAAGGAGGGGCATGGGAAGGGAGGCTCACTGCCCCATCTTCCTAACTGCTGTTTGCATCTGCTCCTTATTTCTACGGAGGGGTACAATTGCCCAGAACAAATCACAAACAACTTACAGTCAAGTTAATTTCATTGAAAATACCATATGCGTCTACGTTTTTATACACTAAAATACTGTTTTGGGGAAGTGCAAGAAAGCTCTAGACATTGGCTAGGGATGGTGTGTGAAAGTGAAAAAGGTGCTACTCCTATGCACCATGTGCCTGTAACAGTCCCATTCTTGAAAGTACATGCCTATTGCAACAATGCTGGTTTCAGGATTCTGAAGAACTTTCTCCAGGGTAAAGTGTGAAGCATAACCAAAACCTGCAAGCATCAATCTGATGAGAAATAATATGTGCCTCTACCAAGGCCTGCTCAGTGTACACCATCTGGCACAATCTTGGGTCCTGCTTGCGTCTTTCTAGCATAGAAAATATAGCTGCTCCATTCTCAGAAAGAGCCGACAGGCTTCTACTTCACATAGCAAGTATCTGCTGAGGACTAAGCAATTTTACAAAATACTAATTACTTTTGATTAACAAGTCCTTTCATAGATTGCTATGAAATATCTTATTTATTTGTTACATGTTTAGACTAACTCTCCTTCAAGATGTTCGGAAAAGTTTGGATGGTCCCCTCTCCTCATTTATCATCACAACAGCCCTCCCAGGCAGGGTGGATTTGATTAATCAGTAAGACTAGATTTAAATCATGGCTTACATGCATAATTTACACACATGCCTGCCTTACCCATAGGTAGAAGAATTTCATTAAAATATTCCCAAACTGGGTCTCTTTTACAGACTGCTGCCATTATAGGTTTTCTCCTCCAGGAAAAGAATAATAGGATAAAACTTGGGCTATATACAAAAAGATGCGAAGACTTGTGGCGTATTCTGCTCAAAGGGTTTCACTTTATTTTTTACTGCTTGCCCCTCCCTCCTCACACTTAGCTTCTTGTGCAATTCCACTCCCAACAATCTTCTTCTATTCATTTTTTTTAAACTTAGCACTCAAGAGGAAAGGAGTTGATTTTGTGTACATAAAGAAGCAATGGGATTAAGGTATTTTTCTCAACTCTGTATGTTTATTTTGTAACAAGAAGAGGCATGTGATCTCTGCAGACACAAATTCACAGTTCTTAGAACTGTAAAACCAAGCATCTGTGACACTCTCTTCTAGATAAAAATATTGCCCAATAATCTTACAGAAAACTCTGGAAGAGCATGACATTGTGAATGGATTAATTGAATTAATTTACCCCCCCACACCAAAAATAAACATTGCACAAATATACAACTTCATTCATTCATTAAAAACTAATCCTTATTTCATGATGAATAACTTTTGGACTATAATGTATCTTAAACAGAAAACTATCCTAAGATAATATTTTCCTCAAAAAGCATTTTATTTAAAAAATCTGATTTACATTTTTAAAACCCTAATTTTTTTATCATTGATTTTTATCCACCCTCCTCTCAGGTAGAGTGAGGATTTGAACCTGCATCTTTCTGGTTGCAATTTAACTCTCTAACTACTGCACCATGCCATATCTTAGGAAGTTGCCACAGAGCTACTTAATCAAATGACAAGCAGAAGCAGGACCTGCACTGAGGTTTACCAGCCAATGACAGTTTAAAATAAGGGTCCTCTGGAAATTCCCTCTTCCCCACCCCCCACCCCTTAAAGTTTTCTTCTGCAATCCATCTTGGGTTTTCCCTTTCCTTCTTCTTCTACCATGGCCAAAACAGTACTAAACGTCCCACCAGGCACTGTTAAAAAGGATACAGAGGGGCTCAATTTTTCCCAGGGAATGCCAGAATCAACATAGCTCAAGCAATTTGAAATTCAGTACTTTGCTTAGGAATGCCTAAGAAAATGTGCTTTCATTTAAAAATAAAATCAGACTTTACCTTTTAAAAATCTAATTTCAAATGCTAGCAACAAAAGGAGGTCAACTAACATTCAGAATTCAGATACACATTAAAAGTATCCACTGATTTTGCATTGAACAATGGAATAGTGAAAACTAATCATTTTAAGTCCTTATTACTACTCAGGGATATAAAGACAAGATAATACTACTTTCAAAAATACAGAAAGCAAAATCACTAGTGAAGAACAGTGTGTTATGATCTAGCAAACATGGTATTTAACTCAATCATCTGAGTGGTCCCACATTATACAAAACATTTTCTTTTTTCATAGAAACAACAAAAACCATCCTTTAAAAAAGCATTTCTTGTCCTAGGAGCTAGTTTGCATGTTTAAGTAAACATCTGTCCAGTGCCAATAAAAGAACACTCATTTGCACAAGAATCTGAGCTTCAGCCATGATTCTGTCAATGGGTGCATTTACAGCACTGACTGAGAGGGAATGAACTCGGAGTGAGGTTATTTGCCCTCAGAATCAGCTTAACAACCCTCCCTCTGTTGCGTCTGCCCACTTCCTCCGTGCAAAGCAAAAAAGGGCTCCAGATGGTGCCTCCTGTCCCTGAAGTCCAGCAGCCACTGAATTTCAGAACGTTGAGATAAGATAGAAAAGATCCTGATTTAGCCTTGTTTTGTCCCCATGGTTAGAGCCCATGCAAAAGCACATCAGTCTGAATTATCTGCCATCAAAAGTGCTATTATCCTGCATAGTCCAAATATCATCAGGCTCTTGCTTATTTGGGTGGGGTAGGCGGATCAGAAAGGCATTCATCCTACATACAGTTCCAGAGGTCTTCTGTTTATGTACATATTCATCAGTACAGCTGACCAAAAACATGATGCTGCCTCCTACTGACTTCGGCCATGAGCCGAACATGCTGACTGTCCAGGACACTCTCCAAAGTTTCAGGACCAAACTAGATGTGGCTAACTTCTTTTTCTTTAATTAAAGGCAATTGTGGGTGGATTTGGATGCACAACCAGGGGTGCACAACCTTGCTGTATATGATGCTGGCTTGGGGGCTGCACATGTACACAAGCACATACACAAGCACATACACCCACATTCTAGTGATCCTACAGGGGATCACTGTTTACTTATTGCTAGCTCTTAGGGAGAGAGCAGGGAATGCACCCAGCAGGGAAACTAGCATGGGACAATTGGTGGTGGTAGGTGGTCACAACATCCTTGAAGAATGCAGTAAAGGCCTTGAGGGGTGGCACATGGCCCCTGGGCTGCACAGTGTGTACCCCAATCCAAACCTCTGTGCCAGAGATGGTAGAAAAGACAGGAAATTCGGTGTGCAAGAGTGGGCCACAATTTCTCTTTCTGGAAGATTCTATGCTATAAAAGAGGGACAGCCTACTGAGGATATAACCAACTTTCCAAATGCCTAGCAAGGGAAAGATAACTTGATTTATTCCAATTACTGAGGAACTCATCCAGAGAAGCAGTCATGATAATCTATTGCAAACTAATGCTATCTGCAGCTCTAGTTTATTACTAAAACACCACTCTGACAGCATGGAAACCTGCTGTGTGAACATTTTCCTTCATCTGACCCTGCCTAATGTCACATTTCAGCATTCCTAAATGCTTACCTGATGCAGTGCAGTTAATCCATCTTCATTGCACAGGTCCGGACTGAAATTGTTGTTCAATAAATAGCAGACTGCAAGACACAAGACAGGAAGGTTTATTCTCAGGAAACATCACTATTTTCACCTTCAGATAACTGGTTGCAAAGAGACGTGGCTAAATGCATGCCCAGATAAACTAAATGTGTTATATGTTAGGCCAATATAGTCTTGTTGATGCCAACAGATTGGAAAACACCTTTCCACTTAGTTTCCACAGTTTTTCAAGTACAGTCAACAATGCATAGTTCAACTACCACAAGTTGCAGCTGATGGCCACCAGCTTGGACAGTTTTAAAAGAGGATGAAATGAATTCCTGGAGGGGAAGGCCACCAGTCATTACAATTACTTATTACCTCCAGTATCAGATTTAGTATGTCTCTATATTTCAGGTGCTGGGGAATACAGGCAAGATGGTGGTATCACATTCACGGGGGCTTCTCACAGCTAACAAAAGCTGAAGAAACTGGGGAAGCCAAAATATAAAGTATCCCAGGGCCTCTCCAGCCTTCCTCACTGCCCCTCTGAAATGTCATTGCTAGTCTTCTGAAACTGGCCGTTGCCTCTGCTGCCCTTCATCTGCTTCAAATTAGTATGAGTCTCTTGCGTTCTGCTTGCCTCCACAGGGTTGTGGCCTCACAAGACCCTCTTGCTTTTGTTGCAACAGAACAACATAGCCTCTCCCTGCTTTCTGGAAATCATCTTAAGAGGATTCCTAGTGAGGGTCCTTTGCAAGCGACTGAACTGTCCAGATGGCAGAAAATGCAAGGTTCCCTCTGCTGAGAAGCTAGCTTTAAAATGGCTCGACATCAGTGGTTTTCAACCTTTCCTCAGCTGCAGACCAGCAAAAACAGGAAAACCACCTTGGGGACTGTCGAGGCAGAAACAAAAAGCACCATACACATAATACATCATTCTGTGTATTAATTTCCAAACATAATACCAATATATATATATATATATATTCCCAAAACCAGAAACCAGGCAACAAAAAATGCCAACAAAAGAACAAAATATTGAAATAGGTACAGCATGGCTCCCACCAAGGCATCTCTCCCCTCTCCAGCGCCACCCCTAGGGGTACCGGTACACCCCCCACAAAGCGAGGAAGAGGTGGTAGCGAGATGTAGTCCCCCCATGGACCCCCATGGACAAACCGGCGGCTGAAAACCACTGCTCCACATGACAACTCCAGTCTCAAGTAGTTGTGTTGCTGCTATTTGAAACTACCAGAGATCTTGACTTATATTTGTTGGCTTATTATTTCACATATTTGAAAGATGCCAATGTCAATGAGCTTTTAGCTGTATCTTTACTTCTCTTGGCCATCCCATAGAGTTCTTTATCTAGCTTTTAATAACATCTTTATTTTTTTAAATGAGAAACTATGATCATTTTAAATTGCAGAACCACCTTTAAAAAAGAAAATAATCTTTCTCCTGCATTGTAACAACAACAGTACGCTTAAGGACGGCAAAGGAAACTCCTCAGCAGGGCTGGTCCATGCAATCTCTAGCCCAAGTGGAACCTGCAACTAAATGTTGCAGTATGGAGTGCACCTGTTCAAGGTTCCAGCCAGCCTTGCCCTCCATTAGGATACTCTGTAGCTGTTTCCTAGCACCACTGAGCAGAACAGCCACTCTGTCTCAGCTTCCTTAACACATTTTCTGCAGTGAGCAAAAAGGCAGAATAGAGTGGCAGGAAAACACAGGAGGATTACAGTGGGAAGATGACAGTTCCTCTTTAGATTACACGTCAGTGTGGCTGCAAAAAAGTAAATGCTATTTTAGGTTGCATAAACAGAAATAAGAACATAAGAAAGCCATGCCAGATGAGACCAAAGGTTTATCTAGAGCAGCACTCTGCGCACACAGTGGCAAACCAGCTGCCCACAGGATCCCTCAAGCAGGGTGGGTGCAAGGCCTCCTCCTGCCCAAGCTCCTCAGCAACTGGAGTATGCAGGCATGCCACCTCTGGTGAAGGAAGGCAAGGCTGGTAGCCTCTTCCCTGGGGAATCTGTCCAATCCCATTTTAAAGCCTCCAGACTGGTGTCCTTCACCACTTCCCATAGTTTATGTACTGTGTGAAGCAGTCCTTCCTTTTATCCACCAATCAGCTTCATGGGATGACCCTGGCAAGTGTTTTATGAGAGAGGGAGAAAAATGTTTCCTCCTCTACTTTCTTCACACCATGCATTATTTTAAACACCTCTATCACATCTCCCCTTACCTGCCTTTCTCCTAAGCTGAACATGCTGGTTGTCATAGCTGCTCCAGGCCCTGATCATTTCCGCTGCCCTGCTCTCTCCTTTTTCCAAAGCAACAAGATCCTTTTTCTGGTAAGGCAACCAGAAAGGAACACAATAGGCACGCCAAAGATTTCTGCAAGTATAGCTTCCAAATCATGTGGTTCCCCTCTATTCAGCACTAGTTAGGCGCAGTCCTGAGTACTGTGCCCAGTTCTGGGCTCCACAGTTAAAGAAAGATGCAGACAAACTGGAAATGGTTCAGAGGAGGGCAAAAGGGTGATCCTGGGACTGGAAACAAAGGAGAAATCAAAAGAATGGGGCATGTTTAGGGTTAGGGAAAAACTGAAAGGAAATATGATAGCACTGTTCAAATATCTGAAAAGTTTTCACATAGAGGAAGATGAGGATCTCTTCTCCATCATCCCAGTCTGCAGGACATGGAATAATGGGCTTAAGTCACCAGAAGCCAGATTCCAGATAGATAGCAGAAAAAAAATCCGGTTAGAACAATATAGCAATGGAACCAATTACCTAGGGAGGTCATGGTCTCTCCCACACTGGAGGCATTCAAGAAGTATGTGAGCAGCCATTTGTCAGGGATGCTTTAACGTAAGAGTCCTGCATGGGGCCAGGAGTTGGACTCAAAAGCCATACAGGTGCCTTCCAACTCTACAATCCTATGATTCCCCATAACAGTCCATGAATAAGGCAGAGTGATGGCATAATAAAAGCCCTATCTGTATGTACCCCATCTTCTACAAGCAGGGAGATTTCTAAGTGGGGGCATTCAGAATGATGACTGTTCTTACCTTCAGGCTTGGGATTCTACCACTACCCAATGGTACACTATCATTGTATGTAAAGTGAAGACTGGCAGCTTCAGTATGGTGGGCAGCCTTCTCCCTTCCAGGCAGTCCTCTAACAGTATAGGAAAAGGCGTATTCCAGCTCTGCCTCCCTCCATTATCATTCCCTGGTTTTCTAGGGTTCTTAATAGCATGGAGTGCCTCCATAGATAGCAGAGGGTGCTTCAGTCAACCTCCATGTGTACAGGGTGGAACACTTGCATTCTTTCATGCATGGAGCTATCCATGGGAGTAAAACCCATTCAACATTGCAGGATTTATTCTGGAGGAAGCATGCATAGGATTAGGCTGTGTCACAAATCAGTTGCCTGTGGTTTATTTGATCCCCAGCATTTTGTCAGGGTAAGTATTGATGAGCTAATGAAAAGGCCAGCCAGTAGTATCATTATTATCATTTCCTCTCCCTTTGGAGTGCTAAGAACCCATGCTACTTAAGAACCAATTATTACGTTGATGGAGGATCGCTAAACATTAGGGAGAATGCAGCCTACACAATTAAGAGCTCAAAAAGGACTAAATGGGCACTCATAAAAGGTTATAGGCTGTGGACAATGCACTATGTAAGATATTCTCAAAAATTACAACATAAAACACATCTGTTAAAATCTAGCTCTCTCTGTCCTATTATTTCCTATTATAAGCAAGTACCTTAAAAATGGATCTAAACTGCTACTTGACTCTAAAGCATGGGTCCTCAAACTACGGCCCGTGGGATGGATCCAGCCTGACATGCCCTTTCATCTGGCCGGCGCCACCATCTGCCGAGCGTGGGAAGCGGTGGCTTGCTCACTCGGAGATGGTTTTGGACACGTTGGGAGATCTTCCAGCGAGTTCAAAACTATCTCCGAGTGAGCAAGCCGCCACTGCCACCTGCCTCCCCCATGCACGCGCGCGCTTGTCGCTGCCTTGCAGCGTGGGCTGGAGGCGGTGACTTGCTTGCTCGGAGATGGTTTTGGACTCGCTGGGAGATCTCCGAGCGAGCGAGTCGCCGCCACATGCGCCCAACAACGCCTTACTGGCCCGCGCGCCCAGGCACCTCCCCCCACCATCCCGCACCACCTTTCAACTGGCCCCCAGATGAAAAAGTTTGAGGATCCCTGCTCTAAATAAATTTAAGTCATAGAGATCAAGGCTCCATCTAACCTTCATATCTAAGGTCACCTCAGTCTGGTGCTGAAGTGACCATCTGAAGCCATTAGGATTTGGACTTTGTTATAATGAATGTTCAAAGAAGTGCCATGGTCACATTTTGTGATCTGGTAAACACACACAACAGTATCAAAACATGAGTGGACAAGTGGCAGCATCACAATGCATGTTAGATCATTCACAAGACCAAAAAAGCATCACTTGCATTTATTACCATAAAATGGTCATTCAGACCATTGTCCCATGATTATCACTTTTTCTCAGAAACTGAGAACTGCAACCTACTCCAGACATTTGCAGTGGAATGAGTTAGGAATATTTCTTAAACATTGTCCTCCAGTTGTGCAGGGAATATGCATTCATTTTCATTGCTTTTATCAAATTACACTTATATCCTGACCTTTTTCCTCTTGTAAGGAACTCAAGGTGGGTTACCTAATCCTCCTCTCTATTCAAAGAACAACACTGCAAAGTAGGTTAGGTTGAGAGTTGGTGACTTTGCCAAAGACATCCAGTGAGCTTCAGGGCTGAGTAGGAACTAGAACCTCATTCTTCTGAGTCCTAGTTTGACAATCTAACCACTACACCACACTGCCTCTTTTTTCATGAGTTTTATTTGCAAGAGAGCAGTATATGAATAACAGGTTTTTAAGGCATGTATCTACTGGATACTACACTGTTCTTAAAACACACAGATCCTTCTTCTCTACAAAATAGTAGGCTGAATTAGATAAAATTCATTCACTGGCGTGCATGTGTGTTTCTGTGTCTG